ACCACCCTGAAGCTTCTGAGGTCAAGGTTATCATCATAATCATCATCATTAGTTTCTATTGCCAATGTTTAGCATGGTATCTTGACCACAGGAGGTACATAAAAATCCCTGTTGAATTGAAGTCTTCTGACTTCTGAGAAGAGAGGGCAGAGAATCCCAGATCAAACATTAAGGATCTCATTTAAAAAGGGTAGGAGGGCTGTCAGCAAGACTTTATGCCCTTCCACATTTGTATGTGTCTTTCCTACTTGGGACCCAGAGACTGACATAGTATCTGCCATACTTCTTTTGTAAGGCTGTTGTGAGTTTCTAATAAGATGTGATAATGAAAAATTCTTTGCAAACTTTCAAACCCTATGTCAACTTCCCTCATGATTCCTTTCCATTCAGACTGAATTTTTTCTCCCACCTAACTCTTCCCAAATACACACTGTGTTTCCTTAGGTGGGCTGTGCCTCTTTCCCTCAGGAGCTTTAACATCACATTAAGGTTGATGTTGGTTGATTTATTATTTCTCCAAGGTGTACATATTCATAATTTTACTGGGAATTCCAAGCATTATAGTGCCTCAGCTATGTAAATCTCTTAACCCAACAACAACATGCCTTAGCAAAACCACTCTAAGTTAAATTATTGCTTTCCTTACAACAACCTCTTGAGCCAGGTTATATAAAGATTACTATCCACATTTTATAGTTTAATAAATTGAGGCTTAAAGGGGTCAAATGATCATTTTTAAACAGCTTGTTAGTTTTTGAACTAAATCTATAACTTCTGACTATAGGTTCAGTGTTTTTTCCCACTCCACCACACTGCCTCACTAACAAGGGAATGTGTTACTATTTGGGAAGGGTGATTGTAATATTTGTTTTCCTTGGGAAATCTATTAGAGCATGCTGGCAGAGTCCCTAGTCTAAAATCCTAGAATTTCTACATTAGCCTTTTTGAGAATTTGTACCAGTGCTTTGTACTAAATTATCTCAAGAAAGGTCTATGTGACACTTTTTTAAAAATTATAATCTAGTTGTTAACATTTATCCATTTGACCAAATACATGGTGCTACAACAGCCAAATAACATTTTACAAAGTTCTCATAGATTAACATCTGTCTTGTGGCCTGGAAGGCCTTTCCCAATCTGAAATAATGAAGACAAGAAAAAAGAAAATCAAGCCTAACTTATAAGAGGGAAAGTCTAGTCCCTTAGAGTGATTATAGAGCATGTAGGATTCTCCTGGAAGGAAAGGACTTAGGGTCAACTTGAATTCATCTCCTCACTCTTCAAATGAACCTGTTCTGGGTGAAAACTTTCCTTGATTCCCCGAGAGCATAAAGCCATCCAGTTATGGTCTGGACAAAATTTCTAGGTGTCCCACTGTATAAAGGGCACATCAAAATTTTTCCAGGTGTCCTTGCATCATATATGATTCTCCTGGAGGTATAGGAAAATTTCTTCTGGGTCTCTATTAACAAAGGGTGGCCAGAATTTCCACTGATGGATCTCTGCAGCTGTAAGGGCAATCCAAATGTAGTTTCTAATTCACCGCCTCACCAGGACAAACAGGTTAACTTAAAAATATAATTGGAAAAGACCTCAAAGTGGTATGGGGTTCCCCAAAATGATAAAGTGTTTAGGGTTGATTACTCAGGGTTTCTAGACCTGTTTTCCTATGCTGTTAATAAAGATTTAAACATTCTGTCTGAATTTATGACACAAATAATGCAAACATTCTAAGACTACTTAAAAGTAAAAAAGAAAAAAATGAATTTTTATGAACAATCAGTGTATTCTATGAAAATTTAGGTACCTGTATGTCAGATATACGCAACTCAAACAGCTCTTAGCCTAAATACTCATAATAGGTACAGTCATACAATAGATAATAGTAAGTAAACATTCAAAGAAAAGTTATGACAAAGAAACTGGTCTGACATTTAAGGAAAACTTGCCTACTTTACAATTTCAGTCTAAAACAAGAGAAAGAGAAAAGAATCCTGAATTCTAGGGTATCCAATAACAAAAGTCCTGGATGGAGAATCTTTCGAGGGAGTCCTCACAAATGCTAAGGGCCCAATATTTGTCTCACATAAGGCCCCCATATATGAGTATAAGAGATTGATTGAGTCTTTATTAGGCATCAGAGCTTATGGGGTACTGGGTGATTGATTGATTAGCTCAACCTATCTAACCTTACATCTACATACTTATTATTTGGTATTGGAAAAATGCAACTATGCATTATAGTTAATAATTCACTGCAAAATTTTTTCTCGCCTTTCATACTTATTGGAAGTGAAATCTTCAGCCCTTTGTCATTCTCATTGATAACTCTTGTGGCTAATTGTTATGGGAAAGTGCCTGTTTGCTGTGCCTTGTTGTTTTGTTTGAAGCTTAGTCACTAGAGTCTTTTGAATAAAACCTTATTTATTTATATTGGCTTCTGACCTTCTCTGGAGATGAAATTAGATGACTTAGTTGCATTTGATTTACAATTAGTGGTTCTTGCCAAGGCTGAAATGCAAATAGAGGTTCCCTACAAATGTTGTTTCTGACAGAGACTGGAGAAGAATTTAATTACCATCTGGAAACCACATAAGGTATGTGTCATATCAAGAAGTCAAGAATAGACACATCTGAGGAAAAGGACTCAAACTAGCATAATTCTTACTTTTTACCTTGCCAAAAACTAATAATGCACTGGCCCCATTCTTACTTCTACACTGTTTCCTTCTCCTTGCCAATCACCTGCCTAGTTATTCTTGTTGATAGCTAACTTATGTCCACTCCTTTCTCAGATAATGGATGAAAAAACAAAGCTTGATTAATATACATTTCCAGCTTTATTAACACTATTGTCATCTACTTATCCTACACTCAGGCAAATCAGACCACATTCCCTAACTACGCCTTAAGCTTTCCTGTCTCCATATCTTTCTCCCTATTATTTGGAGTTGAGTATGCTCTTATCTCTAACCAGAAACACTGCCCATCTATTTCTTTCGTTGTGTGTGTGTGTGTGTGTGTGTGGCAATCAGGGTTAAGTGACTTGCCCAGAGTCACACAGCTAGTAGGTGTCAAGTGTTAGAGGCCAGATTTGAACTCAGGTCCTCCTGACTCCAGGGCCAATGCTCCAGGGCCACTGCACCACCTACCTGCCCCGCCCATCCAATTCTGCCTACAATCCACAGCCTCTCTGAACATATCTAGATGGAAGCTATCTTCTTTTCCCTGAACTCTAATAGCATTTTGTTTCTTCCTCCTCTTATGAATTTACCTCACTGCACATTTAAATATACTTATCATAGTATTTTAGAATTGCAAAGGATGACAATAGCCATCTGTTCTAATCTATACCAAAAGAAACTCCCCCAATACTATACCAAAGAAGTGGTTGGTTCATCTTCTACTTGAAGACCTCTACTGATGTTGAGCACATCTCTTTAGGCAGTCCAATCTACCTTTGGATAGTTCTAATTCTTAGAACTTTTTCCTGAAATAAAGCTTAAATTTTCCTCTTTCCAGCTTTAACTTCCTATCCATGCTCTTCAAATAACTTGAACAGTTACGTTTTCAACATATTTCACTTAATTGCCATACATAATACTAGATGTTTTGTTCATTTCAGTGTTATTTTAAACTTATTTATTTATGCCTGAATTATACCTCATCTCCCCAGCTAGATTTTAAGATTTATGTGAGGAGGGTCTATTTATTACTCATACAGATTCATTGACTGTCCATAAGATGGAAATCTATACAAAAATGTGGATACAGCAATTTTTAGCTTCTTTGTATGTGATTTCACCAGTTCCAATGTATCACCCAAAGTTCATCTCAAGCCAATAAACCAGGACTGAATCCCTTCAATTTTGGAAAAAAAATAATTGGACTTCTTTACAAAATAATTTAATATCTGCATTATACTTAAGAGAGGAAGTGCTGCATAGTGTACTGTGAGCTGACTTTAGAGTGAGGACATTCTGAGTACAATTCCTGATTCTAACAAATACTGTTTCACCTTGGACAAAATAATAATCATCTTAGTGTTTCAGTCAGCTTTCTAAAATAGCACATTACAGTGGAAAGAGTATTGGCTCTGGAGTCAGTAGGCCTGGTCTGGATTCAAATCCTACTTCTAATGCTTATTGCCTCTGTGACCTTGGGCAAACCTTCCTCTGCCCCCATTTTTTCATCAGTAAAAAGAGGAAGTAGGACTAGAAGAACTCTGAGGTCTTGTCCAACTCTAGATTTAAGATCTATCAGTTGTAAAGCAAATGCTAAATCTGCTTTGGTAAAGGGAATTCTCTTGCTGGAAATTTCCTACATCAATGAAATCATAGGTCTGGACAAAATATTATACCTAAAAAGATTTAATAGTCTAGTTGGAGGCCACTTTGGACTATACAACAAGGTAGAATAAAATCAAGAGAGGGCCAGTTCAAGTCGATGACTCTTTATGCCCATATAGCCTTTTTCACATGCTAGGAAACCATCTCAAAGAGGGCAAAACTGCCAGAAATTTAGTGTCTCTAAGAAGATTCTAATGTTATGTACCCATGACTTTGTTTAACACCATTAGAGATAATTTGTTTGGAATGAAGAATGAAAAATGATCCTCATGGCCAGGTACCCAGAGTGAGATCTGTGTATGATACCATAGCATAAGAGGTAGCTGTGTGCCACAGGGGATAGATAACTCCACTTGCATTCAGGAAGACCTGCTTTCAAATCCTGCCTGAAGCAATTACTAGTTATTTGACTCAAATACCTATTCATAAAATGACAATAATAATAGGATCTCCCTCAGAGGATTTTTTTGTGAGGATTAAATTACATAATACATGGAAAACATTTTGCAAAAGCTGAAGTGCTCTATGAATGCCAGTTGTTATGATGACGATGATGAATTTGTTTTGCAAGTATGTTGCTAAAAAACAGAACATGATTAGATAGCATTCCATTGAGTTCCCCCCCCATCCTGTTTTCCAGCTTTCACCTACTTTCTTTGCTGAGCTGAAGAGCGTCTGGTGCATATCACAGCTACTATCACCACCACCAATACTGTGATGACCCCAACAGTGACAACGATGATCACAAGCAAGTTGCTGTTCTTCTGAGGAGTGACACTGCCATGTGGGGGGTGCATCTGTCCTATCGGTGGCTCTGGAAGAAGACAGAAATAGGTAGGCTTGGCCGGTTTGGTAGGCATGGCAGTCAAATTCTACCATGCTAAATCAGGTAACTTGTATGACTAAAACTTCTAAAATGGGATGGGAAACAATAATCTCTGAGAGGAAAAAACCAAATTGCACTATTAAGTGGGAGAAAAGGGAGGTGAATGCTACTTTGTGTCACACAAATTATTCTGTGATGTTAATCAGAGGTCATGGCTTACGAGGAATATCCTACTTATTTGATGCTTTCAAAAATAAACTATTTGATACCATGTACTCACAATTTACTTCCCTCTCCTCCTTAAGAATCCATTTATAAAGCACATATAATTTATAACCTGTCAAGGAGTATATGAATTCTACTTAAAAATCAGTCATTGGGTTCAGAATAGTATCATGAAGTACAAGATATTGATGTTCCCTAGTGTTGCATCATTATAACATTGTAGAAAATATTTAAGGAATAATGAATGAAGAGCAGGAACTGTCAAGTGGATTAATGTCCAACTAGGAGAGTCTGATGGTCCTTGGTGAAGTTGCTTTTAACTGCAGTCAGTGATTAATTTCCTATTAATATTAGGTCATAATAATGACCTATACTAGGTCATTATTGCCAGGTATACAGCTTTTCATTTATTTTGGAAGGCATTTCTAACCAGCCAATTTCCTAAACATTAACTGATGAGGTTGCTTAAATTAGTTCAAAGCCTTCCATCTTGATTAAAATCACTACATTTGAGTTATGAACTCATCCAACTGTATATACAGAGGGTCCAGAACCAAAAGAAATTAAAGTTAAACTCCTCTCACTATCAATCTGGCCTTTGCCTTCACTTTGAGAAGCTCAACATGGCAAGATTTTGACATCCTATAAGGCTCTGCCTTAGGAAAGATAAAGTGGTTTTTAGCCTTAAAGATAAAATGGTTGATCTATTATTCAATGGAAGGAGATAGAAAGAAACACAAAAACAAAAACAAGATGTCTCATAGTATGTCCTGAATCTCAGGAAGCAAAACTCGCTAAAAGTTTTCAAGTCCTATCTTTCTCTAAAGGATCTAAGCTACAAATGAAACATTTCCTCCAAAACCATTAGGCAGGAATGCCCATGTAACAGAAGTTGGAACTTATTAAATTATATATTTGAACCTGCCATTTAAAATGTCATTTGTTGAAGTAATTTCATCATGCCCACTTTCATTAATACATTGATTTGTTTACATAAATTGAACTTTTTGGGGGTGAAAACTAACAAAAGAACTGTGAATCTCATTGTTAATGTGATTTCATGTCCAACAATTATTTCTAAACTGACAGTGAACAATTTTGTTGGAGGAGAGTATGACAATGTAGGTTCTCTAAACTTTTGGAAAACAAACAAACCCAAAACAAACAAAGAAACAGACAAACCCAAAAACCAACAATTTTTTTTTTCCTTTTTCCTTGCAAGCAGAGTAAGCTCAAATGATGAGAGTTTCATCTCATCTTTCTTGTAGCACAGGGAGATACTATGCTTCATGTCAGAAAGCAAGGAGTCCGAGTTTGTGGAAATAGAGCAATAATATATTAGTGCCAGAGAAGAGATGCAAAAATTCACTTCCCTCTTTCTTTGCAAAGGTGTGTGTGTGTGTGTGTGTGTGTGTGTGTGTGTGTGTGTGTGTGTGTGTGGAGGGTATTGTTGTGCAACACTGCACATACTATCAAATTGAGTTGATGTGTTGGTTTGTTTTGTTGAACTGCTTTTTTTATTTCCTTTCTTTTTCATTCTTTGTTCCAATGGATAATTCACTGGAGACAGGAGGAGGAAAATGTATACTCAGAAGTGAAGGTTATATAAAAACAAAGATATCAATGAAAAAAAATTGAAAAAAAATATTATAGTGATATCATTAACTAGGAAAAGTTAAGGATGCCAGCTCTTGCATTATATATCTTTGGTTCTATGCTTTTATGGTTGTCTATAAAAATATGTTAGTTTTAAACATAGTATTAAATGTCCTTCAGAAAAATCTACATCCCATTTCAAAGGGGAAAAGATAATCAAGAAAATATGAACTTTGTGCAGAAGAGTGAGAAGGTCATGTGTGATAGTGTCTTCAGTTACATTTAAGTAAGCCAAATTGCTGCTCAAACAATGAGAAATTTATGATTCCACAAAATTAGGCTAGAATAGTTAGAAAGCTTGGTAGATTTCTGACTCTAGTAGGGTCAAGATAGATAATGAATTCTGGATTTGAAGATAATGAATCAAAACAAGACTGATAATAAATGTTCTCTTCCTTGGTGATTTCATCACTACCCATGGTTTTAAATATCATCTGTAGTCAGATGATTTCCACACTCATACATTTTACCCTATTATCTGTCCTGAATTCTAGATGTCCCTCCCCCTCACCATTTTTAACTGAACCCTGGATACTTTTTGGATATTTCGTCATTATCTTAAGCCAACATTCTCCAGATAGAACTGATAGTCTTCCCTACTAAATCTCATATTCTTTATGACTCACCTTCACAGACATCTCCTTCATGAAACCCTTCCAGATCCCTATAGCATGTTTTACCTATGCTATTTCCAAACTTTCCTATTTATCTTGAAGTCATGGTGATTTTCCTTGTCACCCAGGTTGTCAACTTCAGAGACACCCTGGGTGTTTCTCTCTCCCTTACTCCCACATCCACAGTTGCCCAGTTTATCTCAACCTGCCTCCACAACATATCTTGTGTTTGTGTTCCTTTCTTTCCCTACATAGTTGCCACTCTGATCCAGTCCTTCAGCACTTCTTGCCTATCACTAACCTAACAGTGAACAAATAATGACTTTCTCCAATTCACCTTCCACATATTGGTCAAATAATCTTCCTAAAGCACATAACTAATCATGTCATTCTCTTACTCAAAGAAATTCAGTGGTTTTCCATAACCTCTAGGATAAACTCCTCTGCTTGACATTTAAGGAAGGCTTCAAAATCTGACTTCTTTCTATCCTTATTTCATATGACCACTTTTGACAAACCATACACTTCAGTCAAACTGGACCATCTACAAAGTGTTTCTAAACCCAATACTCAAACTCTATCCTCCGTATATGCATATGGGCTATTCTTTTTACTTAAAATGTACTTCCCCCTCGGCCACTTTATCTCAGTTTCTCAGAATTCTTATCTTCCTTGAGCTGCCTCAACTCTGGTGGCTGCTTTTTTGGAAGCCTCCCATGAATGAATTCTCCTGGTTACTAGTACTTTCTCCCTTCTCAAATCACATTGTATTGTACTTATTTTTTACAATGAACTTTCTTGAGGGAAGGGAGTGTTATCTATTGTGCTTTTTTTTTCTTTTGGTATCCCCAGTGCTTAGCAGAGTGCCAAGTACATAATCGGCACCTAGTGGATTTATTCCTTTTGATATTTTATTCTTGAATATATCATCTTTATGTGAGTTAATAAATTAATGAAGAACTGTAATTTCATAAAAAATAGTTGAACTCTATTGTTTTGAAGGTCAAGGAAGCAAGAAGAAACAATTTTTCAAAGCTACATGAAGATTCAGTTATTTCTGATGCCGTTGTTAAATTTTTTATTTATTTATTTGCTTTTTGGTGAGGCTATCAGGGGTGAGCGACTTGCCCAGGGTCACACAGCTAGTAAGTGTCAAGTATCTGAGGCCGCATTTGAACTCAGGTCCTCCTGATTCCACGGCCAAAGCTCTATCCACTGCACCACCTAGCTGCCCTCATTGGTTTCATTTCTAAATGACCATCAGAAAGTTATCTAAGGGTTTAAGTAAAAAGCAGGATTTGAACCCAAATTTTCCTTACTTCAAATGCAACACTCTATTCATGAAGCCATATCATTTGTAGACTGTCAAAGAACTTTTATTTACATTGTCACATTTAATTTTTACAAAACACATTGAGTTCAATAAAGGAGATAATACTCCCATTTTATAGATCAAATCAGCAAATCAGGACACAAAGAGGCTAATGGCTTTGCTAAGCATTAGCAACTCAGAACCAGGACTAGGACCCAGGTGTCTTGATTCCTCAGTTCAGTTCTCTTATCACTATGCCATGCTATCTTTAATTGACAGTGATGCCTGTTACACCAGATGCTTATAAAGGGAATCCAGAAAATTACAAAGCCAAGTCTAGAGAAAGATCTGACCTTCTATTATGGAGTTATGATTCTAACACCTTAGTTCTGCCCTCCCTAAAGACAGTCTCTTTATTTCTGGTACTGGGCCTCTGTACACCAGGGAATATCTTGACAAATCCATAATTCTTTGAGTACAAAGATAATGATTTATGGGGAGATAAGAGACATGAGAGGGAAGGTATACCTTGCATAATATTTTTCTTCTGCTTTATTTTCCAAGGAAAATGGCCTTTGAACTGAGTGATAGAATGAAAATGTTTAGCAGCAAGGGGTAATCCAAGGAAAACTATGAATGAACATGCAGTACAGAGCTGACCTTGCTAAGTCAGCAAGCCTAGATGAACTACTTCCTAAAATACATAGCAAAAGAAAAGAAAACTGGCAGCTGTGATTGCTGAGTCATCAGAACTGACATTTAGAAATAACCCTGGCTCTGGAGAAAGAACACTGATGTTTACTCTCTCTGTGTGTGTGTGTGTGTGTGTATGTCTTTGGGCAAGTCACTTGCCTTAAGGCTCTTTTGTAAAATTTGTAAAATGAGGGAGTTAGATTAGATGACTATTGAGGTCCTTTCCAGGTCTACGATTAACTTCTGATTAGGGAAGAGTAAAAGTTGTCTTAATTTTCAAAAAGGGGAACAGGATGTGTGTTATAAACCATAGACCCATGACCTTGATTTCTATAACCCATCATTAAGCTAATGACACATGAGTACTTAAGATGGGAAGAAGTGTTCATTAAAATCCAACATCAAGAATGAGTCATGTAGAACCAAAATAATTTTCTTTATTTTGACAAGGTAACTTTATCTGAACATTAGGGGAATGATATAGACAC